TACAAGGGGATGTGTTGATTGCAGAGTTAATTTGGTTGCTCCGTACCTGTGACAGTGTTATACATATAAAAAGAAAAGTAAAGTTTTAGCTCAATGCTTCAAAAACAATGTCATGTTTTACTGAAAGTCTCACTGGTTTTCTGTAGAGCCAGTCATTTTCTGTCACCAGAGAGAGACTTAGTCCTTTCTATTAGAAGTATTTTGGAGTTAAGATTAATTAAATGCTTTTATTTAAACTTTAAGCGAACAAACATCTGAAACAAGGCCAAAAGAGTAGAGACATACCTCCAAATACCTGCAGCTGTTAATGCATTTAAAGATGGTTTTGCAAAAGACAAAGCAGAACAGGCTCAGGGATTAGGGTTTATAACATATTAAATTGTATTTTTGTTTTTATTCTTACCCTTAGGAGCGCCACTCTCCATCCTTGTGGTACCTGAAGAAACCAGCCCCATAACTAGGGTGCAGTTTTGGAAGAACTGCTCTGTAGCTGCTCAGGATTGTCAGATTGTAGCTGCTGATCCAGTCAGCCTGTTGTTGTTGTGTAAAAATGGAGCATTTTACACCGTGACTACAGGACCAGGCATTCACTCCTGCACCAAGCAGCTCATTGAAAGGTTACCTTCACTTTACATATGTCCAGCATTACCCATGTATAAGAACGTTCTCCTTTAAACAGGGTTTTCCTTGATAAATATATATTCTATTCCATGCCATAGGCTGAAAGACAGCAGAGGTCTCCCGACTGTTACAACGATTGTGCCTTTCCTGCAGGGTGTGGTAGGAGCTCTTTATCATTTAATTCAGTATTTAAACACTGCAATGATAACTTAGACTGGTGTTTTGTTGGTTGTATTGTTCCAATTAGTCACTCGTTGTGCAGAGAAGTGGCAAAATGTCCCTGAAAGATGTCATCAACAGAGACACTGTGTGCAACCTGACTCTTCCAACATCCTTTCAAATCGCCTCTCCCTACAGCCCTGTTTACGTGCTGAATGTCAAACAGCAAGCACTGTTCATACGAGGTGAGGATTGGGATCCTGGTATTCCCTCAAAAGTAGTCCCTTTAACTATAAGCTTTGATTTATCTCCCAGGTGACCCACAAACCAGCAGCAGTGATTTGTCTCAGAGGGGGAACCAGAGTCAGCTCTTTGTCTTCCGGTTTAATCAATCTGACATCGTTAAGCCTCTCATTGTTTCGCATCAAGACCCTCCCAGACAACAAACACTGGAGGAAATCTGCAACCTCTACCTTGAGCAAAGGTTAGCATCCCAGGCAGCAGCTTCTTTGTATCTATCACCATTTGTCTAAATTATATAATTTCTGCTGTTTTTTTCATATACTCGTTTTTTACAATTTAGCTTTTTTTTACTTTAAAAGATTTAAAGTCAGCCCTTTCTTATTGTGAACATCTGCTGTTAAGGATCTTTGTTTGCCTTTATGACTCTTTTTGCTTTTCTTCTGTTTATTTTGCTGTAGTTGTAATAATGGCCAATCATAAACAGCCTCCATCAGATTTAATCCCAGGTTTTTCAATCTTCATGTTTTTAACCCTCTAAAGGTGGACTTTCTGACATGGTTTGGGATCATTGACCTGTTAGTGGGTTTCAGCTTAAAGGGGAACACCGTTTTTTTTACATTGGGCCCTTGATTTTACGTTATTACATCATGTTCTACTCACCCATATGAGTTTTGTGTCATTTGGAGCCGTTCTGAAGATATTCCATCCAAGTAACGTCTTTCTATAGGCAACGACTTGAAGGCACAAACTGAACTGTTCATAATGTATAATTAATGATACGCCAGCATTTATAACATGTAGGTGAATCACTGTC